CACACAGACTGTGAGTCAACTTCTGTAAGTCAATAGTTAGCCAAAGTACGTGAGGCTGGTAATATTCTTCGCCCTACAAGGTCAAACTCGCCAGACCAGTGGCGTTATAATCTTGTAATCTTTCACGCGCCGGCGTCCAGTGGTCCATCACCCTAATTGCGCTACAAACACGATGTTGTTTTTACGGAGTCCAGTTGACAGACTCCTCTACGCTGGTGAGGACTCAGTAAAAGTGAGTCAAAGTACCCGTCTTGGAAAGCAAGGTGATCATCGAAATCGGCCTATAAGAATTATTTCTGTGGACGAAGCCATTCCAAGACTGATCATGTCCCGACTAAGTAGGCTGAAAGGTTTGAAGATCCATGTTCCTCCAGACTTGGACACAGTATAGAAAGAGCGGTGCAGGTCTGTCATCATTGAGCTGAAAAGACACTGGTGAAGGGGAAACAACTCTTCGTATCATAAATTTTCGGGTGGTTTCCAAAAATCTGCGAATCCGCATAAACAGGCTGCTTAAACTTCAAGCCCGCCCAGCGGTTCATGTGCGGTCTGCGAGTTGTCTTCACGAACGTTTGCGGTGTTATTAATATGCGCAAGAGCTGTGTTGTTTCTTTACGTCTGAACGGCCAGACGTAGTGGCACTCGCAGAGACATGGCTGCATGCAGATTTATACACCCAGCAAACGGTTACTCGTGCTTCCGATGTCATAGACTAAAGAATGCCCGGACTTCCCTGCTCGGAATACTTATGAGCACCTACCGAAGGGACGATGGTTTGGATGAGCTACTGTGGTGCTCCATCAGCTTCAGGCGCGGAGAACTGCTTGTAGATGCAGTTTATGGCGGCCCCTTGAGTCGTTGTTTGGAGTAGCTGCCAATTATTCCAACCCACACGCGTCGTCAACAATATCTACATATGGGCAAGTTTAACTGTCCTCGAATACGGCGGCTTGATGTGCATTTGATGCATGGACATGGTGAGGTTGAAATAATTCCGTGGATTTGATACTTGAAACTGGTGCATCGAAACACGTATGCCAACTGCCACGCATAACAACAAGCGGAACCCCGTCCTGTTTCGACCTGATGTTAACGACCTAGGAACAACGAATGCGTGACGTTAGGATGCTGAAGCTCCTGGCTAAAAGCGACCAATCAGTGCTCGTAGCTGATATGGAATTACCTTTGTCGTATTCGCGTCCGCTGGAACCAGCTCCCAACTAATGGAAAATGAACTTCGATGGTTTATCTCGTGCCACAAGTCAACTTTATTGGTCTCTGTCACAAGCTGCATCTATGGAAGATTGTTGGATATTTATAAAAGAGAGATTGACATCATTGTGTTCCAAATTTGTGCCATTGAAATGTCGAAAGGTTGTACCCATTAAGCCTCATTGGTTTGATAAGGAGTATGGAAACCTGGCTCGAAGGCGGCGCAGACTGTGGGACAAATTCCTTCTCTCTGGCTCTGCCAATGATTACGAAGGGTATAAATGTCAGCAGAACCTCTGCAACAGTGCGAAAAAGAATAAACTCCGTACACTTTGAAGTGCAGCTTGCATTAGCCTAGAAGACCGCCCCAAAGAGAATCTTTGCATATGTGAAGCGACGCCTGAAGCCGGCAGGTGATGTGCCAGTGCTGGATGGCACGGATGGACAGCCCCTAACCTCCAGCACTGAGCGTGCGTCCGCGTTGGCGGCGCAATTCGCATCTGTATTTGCGAATAACTAGGTGTCTCTTCCGAGTTCCACGTGTACCGCTTTTACCAAACTCGATAGTCTGCAATGCGGCGTTGAAGAGGTAGCTCAACTACTCGCCAACCTTGACGGCACCAAACCTGCCGGACCTGATGGGCTTCACCCACTAGTTCTCAAGTCACTTTCAACCATCCTCTCTCCTATCGTGACTGACCTTTTCAACAGATCGCTCTCCGAATGTTTTTTGCCGGTTGATTGGAAATGTGCGGTGGTGAAGCCTATTCCGAAAGGCGGCGACCCTAGCAAAGTAGACAACTACAGGCCAATTTGTCTGACACCTATATTGGCAAAGGTTGCTAAGAAAATCGTGAAGAAGAGATTGCTGCAGTTGCTACAGTCAAACGAGGTCCTGACGCCCGCACAGCACGGTTTTATGCAAGGTCGCTCATGCATTACGAACCTGCTTGTGACGAGGCATGAGTAGTTGAAGGCAATAAACAAGGGGAAATCCGTCGACGTGATATTCATCGATTTCAGTAAAGCGTTCGACAAGGTCAGTCATGAGGTTCTCCTTCACAAACTCAGCATGTGTCGTGTCGGTGGCTCACTGCACCGGTGGATCCGCGACTTTCTTGTTGGACGAAAGTGGAGCGTACTGGTCGACGACCATCTAACTGACTGGTACCCCACTACAAGTGGCGTGCCTCAAGGCACTGTGCTGGGGCCCACTCTGTTCCTGATCCACATCAACGATCTACCGCAGCTTCTCCGGTCGCCGTGTGCCTTGTTTGCGGACGACATGAAGAATTGGAGAGAAATTGATGCTCCCGATGACTGTTGCCTACTTCAGCAAGATCTCAACCGCTTATCCACATGGTCCGCAGAAGTTCTTCTCCCGGTCAACCCAGCCAAGTCGGTATTTATGAGCCTGGGATGGGTGCTAACGGCCGAACCTACACCCTTGACGGCCAAAAACTATATCCCACACCCTCCGTGAAGGACCTAGGTGTACTCTCACGCTACGACTTGAAGTCCGTGGACAACACGAACAGGTTATATCGGAACGGACTGCGCATGCTTTAGCGCTCAAACGTAGCTTCGGCACATGGTCTGAAGAGGTTGCCACTCGCCTGTTCTCTTCTATCATTACACAAATGCTAGGGTACGGTTCGCCCGCCTACTTTCCGATTACCTGAGGCGAGGCACAAAAGATCGAATGGGTCCAACACGCTGCTACCAGGCTCATCCCGAGTTCACGTGGCTTTGGGTATGAAGACCGGTGCGAGAAACTAGGGCTCTACACCTTGTCCTACCGTCGGGTGCGAGTCGACCTCATTATGACCTACCGAATTCTACATCTCGGTGAGTTCCCCATGCTAAGGTCAATACTGCACTTACGAGGGCCATGCAGCACACGCGGACACAGATACAAACTTGTCGTGCCGGATGTGAAATGTGTTCCCCACCCACTGTGCTTCGAAACGAGAGTGGTAAACATTTGGAACAGTTTGCCCGAACTTGTGATTGAGGCAACATCTGTGCAGCAGTTCAAAACGTTGTTAGATTTGCATTTTGCCTCTATTCGATTCAGAGAACGACTGCACACTTACGATGACATATCACATTTGTGAATCCTGAAATATCGTAAGTCGAATATTTTACATATTACATGAGAACGACAATGATATTTATGGTTGACAATTTTATAACGTTTTTCGCCATATTTCGAAAGAGTTGTACAGAATCCATTTCTACTTGCTCTATAATACAGTATTCAGTATTCAGTATAATTACTTTTATAACAACAACTTATCAAGTGCGTGGACATATATCTACTAATCCTAAAGAATGTGTAGAAGCAACTTAATAGGAAACTAATCCGCGTATGGGTGGGCGTCCTTGCGGTATACTCAGCCTGCGCGCGACTGGTGGTGGTTGCGCGGCAGCGAAGCGCCGTTACGGCGTACAGCTGACACATTATTTATATTATTAATAGGAAACTAGGACATTTAGTATGACTAAAGTTAATCAACTTCACAATACCTATTTTATTGAAGCATTGATGCAAATGTTACTATTGCAAGGATTTCAGTAAAAAGCCGGCTTTAGTATGCAGCTTTGCTTTTACGTTTTACTAAACCTATTAGTAAAATTTAAATGGTTATATATATATACCAAATTCGCGCTAATGTAATAACCTTGTGTTTCTTTTGTACACTGTGATATATGGCCACCGTGGAATACGATAATGTTTTGCTCTATTCGCCTATTTATATACTCAATCTCAGCAATTTTATTTTGCAATCTGATATAAATTGCACGACTTTATCTTATTTACACTACTAGATTAACCTCGTTTATGATAATTTTACCATTTGCAAAACAAGACAAGATCGCACTATATTATTCTATTTTTTTAGTAAAATTCTGCATTTAACTGTATTAGGATATACTTTCCTTGCTTTAGATTAAGCATATTAATATTGCGCCGCTATTTTGAGTATCTTAGTTTTACAGCAATGTGATTTCATCGTAAGCAGCGCTTTATTTAACATAAAGCAAATTCTAGTATTTTACATTAAACTAAACATCATAACTACGTATACTTGTTTAATTTTCATAAATAACAATATGGAGGTATCCTATGTAACACTTACCATGTACACGTGTAGAAAATCTCCCGCGTGTTTCTCGTTTGTTACATAAAGCAGAGTGCATATCATTTCCAAATTGTCTTCAGAAGGAATTTCTAAAATTGAGTTAATCCAATCAAGCTGGATGCCGAAAACAAATTCATCCTTTAGTGTATGTCTTGCGTCATCTGTGTAGGTGAGCAGCACGTAGCTGTTTGTTCGCCACACGGGGTCATATTTGATTAAGCTACCGTTTTTTGCATGCGGCATGTCGCTTGAAACCATTTGTAAGACCGTCCCGGCTGTAAAGTGAATATCACAATATTATTTGTTTATTGCTGTCTAATAAAGTAGTACGGTTCAAAGAAAAGTCTTCGAATAATCCTGATAGGCTGTTTATGCTGGAACTAAGCAATAGTCATTCTGCGCTGTCAAGGTGTGGAAAAATTTAAGAAATTAATGTGCATTTTTAAAATGCTTGGAAATAATACGTCAAATTGCACATATTTAACTAAGAATTGTAAATTGTTATTACTGCTGCAATAAGAGCGTGTGCCAGCAATTAACATACAGTATTTGCACTTTAAGTTTAAGCTTTAAACGTTTTTCTTCATAATCAAAATTTTAGAAGCTTACAGTTTAATGTGATATAAAGAAACCTGTCCCGCAGTGGCTGATTTACGTGTACATCCAACCTAATTTTTAGTATGATAGTAAAATTCCAACTGCCATTGTAAAAGCAAATAAAAATTATATTTATTTGAATGTCTTCAATTTTGGAACCTATGTAATATGAATCACTATAGCTGAGTAAACACAGCTCTTTGACCTAACCAAAGCAGAAAATATCGATCGATCTGCTGGAGTTCTATTTTCCGACAGCTAAGAAGTTAATGAAGGAGAATATTCTGCAACCTTGTGAATCTGGTAAAATGTTTTGACCAGTAGACAATATTTTTCGTGCAATTTAGCTCATGCATCAAAAAGTAATGGTTGCAAGGCACAATTAGTTGCAATTGCAGAACCAGTGAATATATTGACGCAATTTACACTGTTTACGGTAAGGCTTTTATAAGGTACATTATGAGTTTCTCATCCGCAAACTGAGATCGTGCGCTATTGACGGTTTACTGCAACAAGCTATCTAAAATGCATCGCTATTACTAACCGAATGGTCTAGTTCGGACCGATCTGGTCTAATTTTATCCCACACAAAGGACACTCCCTAATGAATAGAACTAAGACATTTCGTTTCGCATCCATTTAAAATATATGCTTCAGATTCTTTGTTAGCCTTGTGCATCGTTTAGGGATTTTTAGTAGATTTGAAGAGAAATTAGCCCACCGATGAGCACAACCCGCTTCCACGTGAACTAAGTTTCCTCGTCTTGTTTACGCAGAGGTCAAACTTCCCATTAACAACGTCATCGCAAAAACCATTAGACTTCGTAAAAAGACACTGTCCGTCCTACACAGCGACCCAATAAATGTTGCATTACCCGCCCTGGTTGATACACCTCGGTTTACTCTAACGATACCGCACAGACTACTGGACCAAAGAATTAAGTTTAACCAAAGGGACTTCGTAGTATTTTGCTCTCAAACGCGATACCTTATCTTGCTACCAAGCGAATTGCAGTCGTGCTTTTGCCTCACGTGTACCGAATAACGCTAGACCTTGAATCATCTTTGCATGTTTGGACCTCAATGAGATGTATAAAGTATTTAGTGGGAACAGCCTGTGACCAAAATGCTCAAGTCTATTCTAGGACGTATATCCTGAGAAGACTGGCAAAAGTACTTTTCAATATGAATTGACATCGGTGTTGTGTCAACTTCATTATCGCGCCGGTTACTACATATAGTTGTTTACCACATATTAAGCCATCTGCTTCATATGAACTCAACAAGATGCCTGTCAGCAAACTCGGCTTGGAACGGAGTGCAGTGAATATATGACACAAGATAAATCCGCCAGTATTTGATGCAAAGTCGGCGTCGGAATACCAAATATTCAATGACCAATGAACCATGAATTTATACGGGTTAAGAAGCGTTGCTTTACAAGACCCGTTGGATAGTTGGTGGGGATATCAACATAACGATAATGATGCTAATGATAGTAACATTGTTATTACTTTAAATATGAAAATAAGGACTAATCTTTTGCTCCAATGTAGTCCTGTGATCCTCTTAGATTCCCAGCACCCACAGATAAGAACAAATAATTCCATGGTAAACTCCAGGTGTAGGATGGAGACATAGTGTTAGGTAACAAATTGTAAGTGTATGAGTTCATCTTCCAACCGTCTTTTAAATACTGTTACTGTCGGTGCAGAGATGACCGATTATTGAAAAACCTTCTACGTTTTACAGACACGAATGCAAAAGACATTGCTGTGGTACTCCATACTACTGTATTACCCTGCGAGTTTTAATGATTGGCCCCTCAGATTTGTATTTTTGCTGAGTTGCAGTAAACGGCGGCACACATGACGTATGTCTCGCAGAATCAAGTATGCCATAATCAGGTCGCCTTCTAGTCTGCGATAGATTCCACTGAACACCCATAATCGTTGCAGCCTCTCCTGGTATGAAGGATTGTGCATTCCAAGTACTTTTTTAGATGTCCGACGTTGTGGCTGCTCCAGTGCAATAATGTCGTGTTTCAGCCATTGATGCCAGCATGAATTGAATACTCGACATGGGGCAAACATACGCACTGAGCATTTGTCAAAATATGGAGTGTTTATTTGTCTAAACGCCCGTCGCAACAGCTCGACGTGTTGGTTTTTAGTCTTCTAGGCGTTTTCCGATTGCCTGGAGCAACCTAAATCTTTTGAACCTGGACACCCAAATCACCTTCAAGATTTGATTGTTGTAGTATATTCGTTCCGAGCCGGTATGAGTAGCTGTCGTGAGCTCGAATAAAAAGCGCCTTGCATTTACCGATAATGAAATTTAATTTGTTTTCGGTCGACCATTGATACACCTTATCTAGGTCAATCTGAAATAAAGTTGGTCGGCGTTAGCCTGGGTCCTGTGCCAGACCTAGTTATCTTCGGCAAACGTTAGAAACTTTGAAGCGATTCGCTGTGCAAGGTCATTACTAAACAACAAAAGCAAACGTGGACCTAGAATTGAGCCTTTCTGCACATCACACTCAACTTGTATGGGGTCGGATGAAAAGCTCCGAACTCTGACCACTAATTGCCGTTTAAGTAGAAAGTTGACGACCCAGTTTAAATGAGGTTCACCTAAATCGTAATGCCGCAGTTTGGATAGTAGTATTCGATGGTCTAGACGATCGAAAGCCTTGTAAAAATCCAGCTATATTACGTCAACACCTTCTCCAGCGTCAGCTGCCTTGGTCTAACTACTACCTGCAATTATTAAATTTGTTGTACATGGCCGCTGTTGACTGCGTGGTGATGTTGTGGTTTTCCAGACAGCAACGGCAACTATGGATGCCCCGCAATTTAAGAGTATAGGAAGATGGGATACTGGGATATTTTCGCAGATTTAAGAGCCGCGCACATTACTCAGGCAATCGTGCTGGATGCAAGGTCAAATGCGTGGTCGGCGTGGTCGAGCAGTCCATATGATGAGTTATATAGGCTCACTGGCTGCCACGGTCACAAGGAATGACGAGTTACTGGAACGTGCTAACTGAATAACCCAGCGTTAAACAAAGATTGACAGATCATAAATTTTCTGACGGCTCTGTTGAGAAATACTGGATCGGAATAAGCTTGCGCTTTTCGTTCTGTCTCGAGAATTCTGTATTGAATGGTGACACACAGAAAGGAATTCGGCGCAGGGTGATCGAGTTAAACGCTTGTGCTTAAACATGGATGCCAGTGAAAACGGTTAATCGTAGAAGACATTTCCACGTATGACGGATGGCTGCGTAGGAATGGTAAATCTGGTTCGAATGAGCGTACACTGAAAACACTGCGGGAAACTAGAGAGAGGATAGACGGGATTAATGCAAATGAACAAGGAGCACTCTAGTCACGCGTGAGTGGTCTCCCAGGTAAATGGTCAGTGTACCTGCTTTTGATAAAAGCTACCACACCGATAGTTATCTTTCTGCTATTGATGTAGGGTAGCCACTATTCAGTCTAACAAACAACCAAGAAAACTGTTTATCGAGTAATATTTTGTATAAGATCCAGCTAAAATTTTGACTAATTGCTAAATAAGTTATTTTACACTCAGTATGATTCCGTATTGTAACGCTTGGTCTTATGCTAAAATAAATCAAAGGGATGTTTTTATTTAACGTTTTTGATATCTTTTTGTAAATATATATCTCTACATCAGCAACGTGCATGCAGACCAGACGATGGGACCCCCAGTAGTGTAGACATTTTAATTTAACAGCTGTTAGTTAGCTACCTTGAAAGTTATACGTCTACGTTTAAGTCACTTTAATTTGGAGTATCAACCGTGTTCTGCGGCAGAAATTGAATGTATATCTAATGATGTCTGTGATAACTGTTGCATGCTGCAATAGAGTATTACCACTTACGGAGATCGCAAAGATGTCCTTTGAAAGCCGTTAGTTCGCAGATACATCGCAGACTGGTCCAAAGCTGCACACAGGTTCCCCCATTGTGACACGTTTTATCCCTCATTGGGAGTGTGTGTTTGAATATCGTGGGTTCATCATCCGTATATAATGAATCAATTGCCAACCGATTATTGCATCGCTTCGTATAAGTTGGCAAAGTAAAACATCCCGCCGTCACATCGCCCATGGTAGTATTTCGGAAACTTGTTTTATTAAGACATGCTAAGGGATCAGTGGCGAGTTGGTCGTTGACAGATAGGTTGGCTAAGCATCCCTTAGAATAAAAATCGACAAATATACTGGTTGGAGTGCCAATAAATGCATACGTTAGGTAAATGCAAAATTTATAGGTTTTTAAAACTTATTGAGCAATTAAAATTTGTCCATTGAAGGTGATTCATGTTTGTGCTTCTATTTAAAAATTATAAAGAGCCATTATAAACTAAATAGCTTTGTTTCGAGATTCCGTGGTTCCAACTACTATGTCTCAGCGAACAGCCATACACCAACGAAAATAGGACGTAACAAACTGCCAAATCACCACTTCTGTGCGACGATTCTCAACAGGGAAAACAAGATGATTTCCTAGCCAAAATTCTTGCACTAGCCCCGAACATTCACAGTTTAATTTAAAAGAAAATATTCGCAAGCTAAGAATTAAAAAAGACTTAATTCAGTAACGATAAAATGCGAATTGCCGGTGGTTTCATACAGGATGTATATTCAATAGTTTTCATTAAAATGCACTACATATTTTTAACAATACATCAAATAGCTGGCAAGTTGGTACATATCTGGGGGTTCAGTGGTTTATTTTATACATAGCAGTCATGCTACATGATTTCACGCCGTCTATCAGAACGTGCCGTTTCGTTATCCTAAATTTGAAACCTCATTTTGAATGGCATTTGCTGAACTTAGTACATCATGCAGCTTCATACACATGTTCCTTATCTTTGAATTGGTTTGAGGTGACAAGTAAGATATTAGGTTTTCGTTTTGTGCGTCGCCATAGCCCTTGCGTTGCGTCAAGCGCAGCAAATTTTTCGTCTTCAGTCATTTTTATATCTTCAGACTCACGCCGTTTTGTTATAAATATCAACAAATAGGCGCTATAGTTGATTATAATGTTAACTGCTGAACAGGCATGAATGGATCAGGACAAGAAAGTTGACTTTCTATTGCAAAATGGTAAAGCGCATCATTATTTTAGCAGGTAAGTAGCATATCACATTTTTGAAATGGATGTTTCGATTAATCCTGGAAAACAAATGGAAATTGTAATGCATTCTTTTTATTTTTGAAAATGTTTAGACATACAGTTGAAATTGAAAACAGATGACTATCGTATACAATACATAAGGTTTCATTAAAGTTGACTTTGCGAACTGTACCTTTAATTATAACTACTAGCTATTCGTTCACGCTTTAAGTGCAATCGCTACCAGAATTTTGTACATTCACAAGTCAATCGATCTTCATATGATTGTGTTGTTATTAGCGTCGGTAGGAACTCCGACTTTGCGTTAGTGAAATTGTCAATGCTATAGAAGGATAATTTCAGCATACATTAACAAGTTTCTATATTATTTAGTATAAAAATATAAACCATAAAGAATAGGCATTTTCTTTTCGATCGAACATCATAAATTTTTCCGGTTTAATTTAAAGTATAAAACCATGTAGCGTTACGTGGGTTTTGGTGCAAATATATATTTTCTTCTTAGCCGTTTATAATTAGATTATTTTAAAATCGGGGTATTTATCCTCTAATCTCGCCTTCCATCTATCTTATACGGCTAGATGCAAAAAATTACACGCAAGTAGAAATCTAAGTTATTATACTCAAATTTTTAAATATCATTCAAGAAAGCATTATTAAAAAAAATAACATAAATTCAAAGCTCTGGTAATGTAGTGTGCTGGCTTTGAATACAAAGAATGATTAGGCTTTTTAAGCCTTTTACTGCACATTTTACCAATAGCTGGTAAGCAATACCCAAACCTGGAATCCGAAGCGGTAGTTGATTCGCTCTCTCCAGCGGTAAAATATATCTTCATGTGCTCCTCCTATGTATAATTTATCAGCAAGGTTGAAATTTCTCGAAAGTTTTCCACGAATTACTGGCAGATGGGTTTTCAATTCGGTCAATTCACCTTTATCAACGGTAGAAATAATTACGTTGCTCCGAACGTCATACCTAGAGCAAAAGAAATCATGTTAATCTAAAAACTGAAAGTTAAAGGGAATGCATTGAGTGAGATATTTGAATTCAATGGGCTTATTCATATCACTTGCATAACACTTCTTCAGTTTTATCCTAAAAACCGACGGCTAACCGGATAACACAACGTAATTTCCAGCGTAGAAACATTCTTTAATTTTGATTATTCAGCTAACTTATCTACGGGATGTAAGTAACAAATGTTATGCTTTTAAAGGTATCCTAATTTAGGTTTTGCTGGGTGGCGTTTGGTTTTTAATAAACTTTTTTGAACATCATTCTCATACGTTACGTTTGCAAGCAAATTTTAAACTTTATGATAATTAGTAGCTTACAGCGCGTTGTTAGAAAGGCAAAGGCGACTTAAAATAAAATATGTATTGCAATCTTGAAATCTGACAGACAGATTTTTAACTATCATTATTGTGGGTTAACCATTTGGTTAATATTATTCCTTGCTAAAATTAGCCAGTGTGAAATAATTTGCCTTATACATGATTTAAAATAAAAAATGGCAAATAGATGCAAGTGTTTGACTTCTTTTCAAAAGCACAATTATAATGAAACATGTATTTTTACCTTGCAAGCTCAACTGTATGCCATGTGTCGTCGTCGATTCTATTATCCGACAATTTATGTCGCTGAAATCCACTCCCCATATCGAAGCTAAAATAGAGTCTAGCTTGGTGAAGCTCAAAAAGTAAATAATCCTGACTGGACAAGTCGGAATTGAATAGCATTAGTCCGCTGGACTGTGTTGTGCGGAAAGCAAACCGTAGAATAAATTTATCGTACAGCTGCAGGGAAGGACACGTCAAATATCCAAATGCATCCTTGAAAGTGACTGCGTATGCAAGGTTTTGTGTCGGGTAGCTGTGGACACTGCCGAAAGATCGGGCTCTTCTTCGTCTTTCTGGATGCGAATCTTTACTTGAGGGTACGGTACCGTATGTGGACAGAACAGTCACTCCATATTTGCTTTTATTGGTCACCAAATTCTGAGATAAGGAATCTGCCGGCTTGAATGATATGCGATCCTGCGCTGGGTAGGGGGTATATAAAAGAAGCTTTTGCGCATCCACGTTCAATAAAAGCAAATGTATTTCAGTAGAACGCAAAAGCCTAGATTATCTATAATCTTTCGCGGTACAACTAACAAAAAGAACATCGCAAACAGTGGAAACCACATATCACTTTATGTTTGTAGGTATTTACCTACACCTATACATGTTAGTTTGTCATTCACAATATGACAGATATAACGTTGCAGTTTGCAGCAGTTTGCATTTTGCTTACGAATAAGATAACTTTGCTTACTGTAGATTGTTTAGTTTAAAATATTAAGGACCGTAGATTTAGCCGCAGGAAACTACCTGAAAATTTTATCAGTTATAAAAATCAATTTCTTGTTTTGTACAAATATACTATACACGAGTTTGTTTATTTAAATAATGTCTAATAGATGCAATACTATTTCGGTAAAGCTAAAATAATCAGTCTTGGAATCTCGGTGAACAAAACTATTCCTAAATAAAGGTACACTCGGTAAACGTTAAGACTATTGGATTGCTTTAACAACAAACATAATGTCGGCATTCCAACATGTGACATTAAAGTGCAGCTTGTTTGTATATACATTGCAGTAAGTGCGCCATAAATGAAAGCGGTTGTAAACTATTTTTCGTGGCTTTTCTGTTGTGCCTTATTGAACTGACCAGTGTGAAAATAGAGGGAAACCGTTGGGAATATTTCTGACCAGTAGATATTTGAAGGTGGTCGCCCTGGATAGGTGATCGTCATGGGTTGGCGGCCGCAACAGATAGGTTGCCAATATAGCAGGTTTTACTGCACATATATAAAGTTTGATCCGTAAGATAATTTTTAATATATACTATTTTTCTGGCATTCTTTAGATTCGTCATACAGTCTTTCGTCTACCACATAATTCAAAGACAATTTTAACACATCATGTAGTTCTTATTGCCAACAACACACTAAGGCATAATTCAGATTGTTGTTCAACGTCAGCTGTGCAACCTAATTGTTGTGGTGCTGTTTATAGTCAAAGATAATGATTTTACCTAGCATTTTTGCTTAATTAATCCGGTGCTCAATGCACGTATTTATTGCGCAGTTCTCTTTTCATTAAAACCAAGAGAAGAATGAAAAGTACATCTTGTGCAATATTGTTTCGGAGCATGATTGAGGAAAAATTGAAGGCCATTCGGTAAACAATCCAAAGCAATGGAATTTTCTCTGTGTTGTGATCGGTATTCGGATTGAGTACATAATCTGTGGACGCTTGGACTTTCACTATTTTCAGTGCACTGCGGAAAAACACCATATTTTCGATTAGTTTCCTACTCCGCAGATGAGACTGAGACTGAAATTTCGGCGTATTTTCTAAACTAATTTACCAACGGGCTGCACATATTAACATATGTTCTTGGAAATATTGGTCTAAGGGTTTGGACAACCTGTGCAAAATGTGTCCAGAATCATGACCCAGAACAGTGATGCAAAAATCCTCGAAACACACTGTCGTTGTCAACAAATCGTTGGCGAGCAATCATTCATCAAGAAATTTAATAACTGCCGTCCCAAGGTATTTAATTTGTAATAAAGTTTGAAGGGTTGAGAAAGTCCTATTTAAAAGGCGGTTGAGTTATCGCTTAAGGTTGAAAAAAGTAATTTAGCTAAATGCGGTAAAGCCAGGGCTACGAATGGCCAGCACTTCTTTGGGAAGTTTAACGTCAGTTACCTCTTGATTGAACTGCTCTGTGATGGGTAAATACCATTTGTATGTTATTTATGATCTTTACACCTGAGGCACTGGGTCACGACAGGCAACCCTTGGCCCAACGGTTACTGGCGGTTAGGAGGTCGTATTGAAATACACGTTTTTTGAGGAGATTGCGACGCGCAACCTCAACACACCATAGTATAGGAGAGACCAAAGGAAACATCGTAATCTGGAAATATCTGGATAACATTCAGCCTGAACGAAATGCAAGGATACATGACACAAGCAAAAAGCGATAATTGACCGACAATCTGACGGTTGGTTCAAACATTGCCCTAAAGTTAAAGCACAGAAAAACAAGTATAACCTTCAAACCATCATCCTATTTGTATACTGGCTTACAAAGCCTACGTATTCAATTGGTCGACGTTAAAGAAATCCACGTGTTCCAAAAGCGGGATACTATAATGTTTACAGTGACTCGGTTAATCTTTGTGATAGCTGATTCTGAGGTGAATTTGGCTAATAGTTTTCTGCTTTCTAATGTTAGACCTGGAAGAGATCGTGGTAAAAGTCGGCATTATTATGCTAAGGTCTGATTTGAACTTATTGATCACCCAAAAACCGTGCTTTCTATTTGATTTGGTACTGGCTTTGGTTTCAGAACAAATGCACATGCCTTGTATTTGTTATTTACAACCTGCTAAACACTACGTCAAAAATGGACTCCAAACGGTACCACGTCCTTCAGAATACTGTAGACAATTGCTACATGCATCTCATCTCACGCGACATTAGCGTGAACTAGCTAGAATAAGAGGATTAGGGTTTATTTACAAAAGCTAAATTTCAGCTTAACTTGTAAATTACATTACTTGTCCACCAGATTTCGAACTGCCAACAGGCTATCAGTATTTGAAACTGTGCTCAAAATCAACGAAATCATGGTGAGTTAAGTGGTCACATTCACACCAATGTGTCAGAAATACCAAGGCATTCTACTGTTTGAATATATGTTTTGTTGAATATACTTAATTATAGGGTGTTATTATATATACCGTCACGCAATGCAACATAGCATCAGTGCTGCATAATATGATATTTTGATCAATCTCCACTAAACACCTCCTAAAAGTCGTCCGGAAAAGTTCACTAGTACATTTAGCACACTGCAAATTACGCGTCGGAAGAGAATTCCTTACCTCTTTAGAGAAATACAAGTCAGTTCTGAGAAGTAGAACGCATTAACGCTGGTCTTTCAGGGAATTAGCATATATAGCTTAGAATGAGCTCTCGAATTTCAAAACTAGTTCAGCAAAAACGTGGCACAGCGTAAATTTAATTAGCATTGATACGTAAAGATATTGTAACACATCAACATGGCTCAATAAATGAATTCTGCAATGAAACCGCAACCTCGCATCCTGGCTTGTAATTAGCCTTCATAATGTGCAGCGCAGAATTCTAGCATTGGCCATGGCTGACTAGTGCATGTGATCATCATCGATATCAGCATACCGCTAACTTTCTATGACTTACCACGTTCATCCCAGTAACGAGCTCAGTGCTGCTTCTATTTTCTAGTAATTCACTATCAATTATTTGCAATGCAAATTTTACAGCAGAGCTGTGTTACCGAAGCTGAGTCTCTGAGTGGTGACAGACCCCATGCTGCCTTTAAAATTAGGTAGTGGACTGCGCATGCAGCACAACGAGATATGGTCTAGATAATGTTTATAAGCTCTATCTAGGAAGGAATGAAATCCCATCAATATTGTAGCCTGGGATACTCAGATACATTCATAAGGTAGGCAACCGCAAAGACGTTGCAAATTATCTTCCGGTAACTTTGTTTTGTGTACTTTTCAAACTTATGGAATCAATCAAAGCTGACGAACGTACGCAGTAGCTGGAAACCTGCAGTTTACTAACCCCGGAGAAAAACAAAACCCGATTAAACGCTCACGCACTAGGAACAAGTTTCTTAACTTCAGTATATGAACTGAAAGCAAGGATGAAAAGTAGCCATCGATGCCATTTACCTGGACTTCAGAAAAGCGCTGGTCGGTTAAACTACATAATTCTCCTCTATAAACACGAAAGCTATAGCAACGAATACCTACGGATTTGTTGTACAGATAATATCTTTTAATAACGTCTTTTAGAAGTGTAAATACGAAAATCCATGTCCGACGCAATCGAGGTAAATTGCATCGTAAGCAAGCCTTGATATTTGGTCTTGTCTATTAATTCATTTATAAATAACGTCGCAGGAGAAATTGCTTATGAGATTTTATTCCTACCTGGTGATATCAACATATTTATGAACGTGCGGGGGACTGTATCTTCACGCAAAGCTCCATCGTGTCCTCAACACCATTTCGAATTAGGCAGCTCAAAAGTCACTAACATGCAACGTTAACAAATTTTGTGTTATTCACTTAACTCATCGACATGACAACGTGTATTGCCTTGGGTTACCATTAACCAAAACCAAGTTCCGGCAACGTGGCCCTGGTGTGCCCATGCGTATTGAGTAATGTTTTCAGTCCACAGCAAAATTTGGCAAATAGCACGCAAGATTGACGCGAAGTGCATTCGGGAATTTTAACCCGTTTACTTCCGGATGATTCAAAAATCTGACGTGCGCCCTCAAGTTGAATAGGCCATGCCAGTTAGGCAAATTTATTTGAAAGGCGACTTGTTGGTGCTAGCAATATTTCGATTCAGGGCTGCAAAGAACCTCAATGGTACACGAAATTCTTCATACCAGAAAATACTAAAGTCCCTTGGAATTTGCATCAGGTGTCACCTAATGTGTGCAGCGACCTCAGAATAGTCTAACAAATATTTATTGACTAATCCCTTCGGCCAACGTTGACTGAAACTCAAAAGTAACATTAATATAAGAGGTATTAGCATGAAACTGAGTGAAATAATTAGCCGCCTAGAGTGCTAGCGGGATTATTTTCCCTCCGGGTGTGACAAACCTCGAACACTCTCTGAAATTGTTTTCTTTCACATTTTGGTTACGTTAAGAGAGACGATTTGAAGTTGCCCATGGCCTTCATCACTTATTTGTCTAATCTGTGTTATTTTGAAATACATTAATCAAGCCCGTTAAATAGAGCTATAACTACCGTGGAATTTAGGAGACGGAATACGAAGGAGTAAACTTGCTTGTAAGATTGTCACGGGGTACATACGCCATAACTGCCCCCACGTTAGCTTGTTGTTTGTATTCAATTCCTATTTAAAACAAATGTTATTCAGCAGACCATCTGTTTGATAACCGCTTAAAAAGGCAACACGTATATCTTTAATATTGTGCATTTATCATTGCTATCCTACAAGACTTGATAAGCTACTGTAATTTTTCACATAAAACTCACCGTTGGTTGTTTCTTTTTTGTCCACGTATCAAAGCAATCAGCTTTGAATTTGAATAAATATTCGATTACTTGACGCATTAAAAGTAAACGTCTGCATTTCTAAATGGCGGCATGTCTAAATGGCGTCTAAATGGCGGCTAGTTTAGCCCTCAATATAAAGGATCATTTGACACAATTCATAAACATTTTATTACTGCTTGATCTTTCTTGCTCATCCGGTTTATTTCCTTTTTAAATTTCAACATATAAGTGGTTCAACTTACAAAATATATCTTACCTCGACATACTGAAAGGTTGCGCCCATCGGCCTTTAATTAAATGATTGCTGTCAAAGCTGAACCCATATATTGATGTAAGCGTACTTCTGTATTCTCTATATTCCACAGCCTTAATAGACGAGCATGTATTTAGCTGAACTTTAAACTGAAACCCCCAATGACCTAGACCCAAGGCAGTATTTTGGCAAACAATCAATTGATTATATTATAGTTATAATGTCGAAATCCACTTTGTTTAATACACGAGATAAGTTGCATGAATGCACAATTTATCAATTGGTGTGTGGTTCATGCAACTAGAAATAACCCATAAAGAAAGTGGCCATGATTGCGCTGAAAATCGTCAAATGAATAGCACTACGTCCGAATTCATTTAATTTTGATTATTTAATCGTAAATACATCACAGCGGAAGACAAATTAAAAATAGTATTAGTCACCTCAGGACAAGTGCGAGTATGATAAAACTAATGTGTTAATTTATACTAATAAATACACATAAAACCATGGTATCGTTAGCAACTTGCAAAGTTACGTAATATATATATAACTAATTTGAGGGTAATAGACTGTTTTGAACTTAAATACTTGGTTATGGTTTACTATAGGGAAGATTGTCCCTGGTTGGAGTAATATTTTCACATGTTTTAATAATTTACATGGTGTTCAAATTAATATTACACATTACAATACACGGTTCACTTTTTCAACATGTACCCTATAAATGCTGCGCTCATTTGCAAATACCACTATTTATTATAATCAATCAGAGAACTATATTGGGTTCATTTATGCTTAGATAGCTGTGGTTTGTCCTTATAATCAAGTTTTCAACATGTCAAGCAGAACAAACAAAACAAAGAATCACGCATTATTCCAACTTAATATATCAGTTCATCGACAAAACTTTGTCCTAACACTGTAGGCATCTCAGGTTGTTTGATGAATCCTATATATACGTATATTAATAGCCTCAATAATCTGCTACATCTGGCCATAAAATTCAAAATATGGAGATTCACTTATTTGTTTATTTTTCAATACCGAAAGCTAGATAAGCCAAAAGTGAAACATAGTTAAGTATTTATTAATACATGGAATTTGATAAGTAACTGCAGCTGATGATCATTAATTATAAAACCCTGAAAAAACTGCACGACATCCTACCATGTGATAAACCTGGTAAATATACACCGTGTTATCATTTATGTCCCTTTTATAAACCCATTAGAAAATTCAATGACAAGAAGGATTGTGGATATTATATGAGTTGTTCAGGGGTAATTTACTTTAGCGGGTATATTGGAAGTGAACAGAAAAGTAAACTGATGTTGATGGCATCCAAATGTTTTGAGAATGTGGGATGATAATACGTTCTGGATATATTCATGAGGTCAAGATGATGCCAGTGCGTGAGAAGTGTTTACTTACAAGACGTCATCTTCGTGCACTAATTGAGCTGAGGACAAAGTGGGTGATTGTACTTAAGCCAGACAAAGCTCAGGAGCCGTCATAATATGCAAGGAATAATACGCACACAAAATGCAAGATTTGCTATGTGATGATAGCAAATTTAAAATCCTTACAAAAACAGAGGTTGGTAATGAGTTGGAAAGACGCATCATGGAGCATATACGTTGCTACTCTTAAACCGTGTAATTTATGATGAGTTAGATAACAGCCTAAAACCGGGTGAGTCCAACATACCTCAGCTATACGGGGTTTCGAAGACCCATACACTTGATGTAACGCTTAAAAAATCTTATCAATGACAAACTCAGCACAACATAAGTTGGCTTGTTTGTTGGTGGACGTTATTGCGCCGTTAAAGCAGCAGACTCTCCCACATCTTCTGAAGGACTCTTTCGAAATTATAGAGGATTTAGATGATTTTAACCTATCCGATAAATTAATATCCACATTGGATATACAATCGCATTTCACCATTGTTCCGCTACATAAAAGATTTCATTGCGTGTGTGAAATGGCAGAGTGCTCCGATTTAATTCTTCCAATGCCAGTCGAGTTATTAAAGGAAAGGTTACTAATATGCACTGAGAACATCAGTTTACAATTCCAAAACTTTTCTTATCGCCAGATAGATGGGATGGTAATGGGTAGTGCTTTGGGTCTAGCGCAAGCATATTTTTTATGTCGATGATTGAAATGAAGTTGAGCGTAGAAACACTGCTTATTTCCTACTATAAGCGGTAAGTGGATGATATTTTAGTGTTTAGCTCATCAGAGGACCACATCGAGAGTCTGGTCGATCGCCTGAATAACGTGCATACGAACCTTAAATTGACCAGCAAACAGAGAAAAGCAAGTGTCTCCGTATCTGGGCGTGTTGATTTGCCAAATAGCAGTTGGGTCCATTATAAGAGAGTTTTACCGAAAACTGCCTTGGTCAGGGCAGTACTTGAACTTTACCAACTTCTCCCCAATGCGGTATAAGCGGACCTTAGTCAAGACGCAATTCAACCTTGTTAAAAAATATGCACTAGTTTAGATGATGACCTAAAGCCGCTCAAGGTTACGCTGTTGAGAAATGGATATCCAGGTAGATTCATCGACAAAGATAGTTAGGCAAGGTTGTCCGGACATAAGGTTTTGACAGTGTCTGAAAAGAGGATCTACATCAAGCTACAAGTTAAGGGATATATGCGAATATGAGGAAAAAGAAGCGCGTAACATCCGCAGTCCAAAGGAATTATTATGCTGCCGAAACGGTTCTTATCAAACGAATTAATCGAATATATGTTACCTCAATGACGGAGATACAACCTATTGGCGCCAACTTACACTGTATTTACCAATTTACTTGTAGTTGATATATACACTACATCGGCCGTACCAATAGATCGTTGAACTCCATAATAGGGAAACACGTTCTTAAATGGTTGCAGCGTCAAAGCACCCAGTCGTCGGCTGCTCTTACGCCCTCTTCATATAAGCCACTTGTTTCCTCCATAGGCAGTCATTTACTGGCCACCTATCATCAGTTTGATCCAGCCAAGATGTTTACAATATTTTTAAGATATGCTGACACCCGTTTCCGACGTTTTGCAGCGACCGACGCGATCAACCGTATCAAACTCACAATCTGGGCGTAGAAACCGATATTCGTTAGCCTCCGGCGGCCCTGGATGTAAGGGTGTTACGCCTAAACTAACCTGTTCTAACATGCTCCGTTCTCGCCTTAACTGTCGTTTTATGTATTTTCAAGTTCTTTTCATGTTGGCACTGAAGAGACAATAAGACATGTTGACATCTTCCATCGTCACCTTCTTACGGCTTTATTCAAATTACTAAAGGGATCTAATTATTCTAAGTATCCAAAAAGACAAGAATTTTATTCCACGCAGTCAACATTTAGGTGACTTTTTCAGGATTTGTTTACAGCATTTTATTTATAAATACTCAGACGTAGTTGCAAATTAGATACATTCTTCCCATGGCAATTAGTTTGGAGTAGGCAGTGACAGACCCATAACTTGTGCTGTGATTCTTAACATTTCATCAACCGTTAAAATTAAGTAGATAAGCAATGAAAAGTAAACCCTAAGACAGAAACCACATATGTATCCGCAGTAAGTAACTTACCGTAGTTTATGTTTGTGCGCATTGAGGTTTTTCTGATGGCGTCCGAGAAAAACATCAGATATGCTAGAGCACAAACTGTGGCAAAAGTAATTCCAAATATCATGGCGGTAAGCTTGTGGATAAGCCATAGGCCTGCACTGATCGTCATATCACACACACACAAAACGCTTCCGTTGAAATGACTTATAATATCACCCTTTGATTATAGCACCTAAGTTATCACATTGCACCAATCCTACGGAATAAGACGTAAAAAGTTGCGATGCACCTGGTTATCTATTAACTTAAACTATGCGGAAAGTTGATTGGATAATCTGGACAAGACCACAAGCCTGTGAAAGACACATCCACAAAGTTCGTAGCCAATAGGAAGTGTTTTCGGGCCAGGAACACCAGGAGAGCTAAAGCAAGAGACTTGTTGCGGTGTGTTCGGGCTCTTTATAATAATTAGCCAATACCATAGCATGCGCGCCAGACACAGCCAAAATTATGGTCACAGCATCTGACCAGCACCGCCATCATTTTATGGTGGCGGTACTGCTGATATTGGCGTCATTGTGATGAGTAGCAACACGATTATTGAAAATACAATGTTTCGCACCATTTCAAAAATTTATTTCTTAAGCGGCTCAAATTAACTTCTACGAAGTTCGATGGCTTTATTTACTCAACTAGAAGTGGCTTTATAACTTGTGAACACAAATTGCGTGCATCAAGGGAACATTATCAAATATAATGTTATGTCAAACTTATTTGGAACGTGTCCCTGGACTCAGAATTTTCTTTCCAACCGAGTTAGAAATGTTATTACTTTTTAGTTAAATTGCCTCAAAATTGAATTATACTCATGTTGTTTTCGTAGGTTGCGGATTATATTAATGTATCTTACCTTTTGGTGAATCCTTTATTTTTCCTTATCAAAGGGATATTTTGTATGAGCTTCAAACTTTCGGCACAAAAGACTAAAAAGCAATGGTTTAGATGCTAGCTTTTGTTTATAAGTTAATCCAATATTAACCAGTGAGTACGCATCAGCTTTTGTGGAAAATTTTGGCAAGATTTGTTGCGATTTACTTTTTTCTGATAAGTAAGATTAGTTCACCACACGACCATTTATAAGGTATACTGTAGACCTAAAATTAGAAGTCGGTTAACAGCAGCTATTTGTCGTTTAAAGTTGGGTGTCATTGACCACTTGATCCATTGTATGCTGCATTCTCTTATCAAGCAGCTTCTGGCTAGTGGTAACGTTTGCTTCTTGGGTACGTTCGTAAACAAGTAGGTAAATTTAAAGCTGAATCATCTTGCTCGATGGTCCTACCGCCTTCCATTCGTGCAAAATTATAGCAGCTTTTTATTCATCTGCTAGTTCTCCCTGTTAGGTTTCGCAGTAGACTCGCCAGTTATCTCGTGGATTCATGAACAGGAGAGCATATACCGTCCATCATAGTTTAGAAGGGGACGTTAGGGGATTTCATTTTTGATAGACCGAAAATTCCGGGG